CTGAATACTTTCACGTGAAAAACAGACTGTATAGAAATACCACTCATACACTCAATATTTTAACATTCTTAACAAATCCAATGGCACAGACGCCGTTCACAAACAACACCCATTCGAACATGGACGATGGTCAATGAACATAAACGGGAACGCACCATGCACGATGCAAGCTTGACGCTGAACCACAGAACGGACCGCTGAACGGCACTAACGCCACTAACGGCAGTCGCGAGATGGTCGCGAGTCGCATACACAATCTCTTCGCGTAATTAGGTACTTGATCGCCATTGGCCATCTGGTCGGTAAGTGAGAATTGTCTTTGGCGCTAAATTTAAACATTGAAAATCAAGGGAAGCCTATGGAATAAAATACATTTTTATCATACATTTATACAGTTATTTAGATAAATCAATTAATTTATTTTATAACTTCGTTTTCCTATACATACATGATACTAATAATAATAATAATAATAATAATAATAATAATAGTAATAATAATAATGATAATGATAATAATACCCAAAAAAATATGAAGACCATAGATTGACGTCTATACGACGTCAAACAGTGGCTGTCCATAAGACGTCACATTAATGACGTCCGCATGACGTCATAATTTGGTCAAAAGACGTATGAGACCAAAAAAGACCTTAGATAGCGGTCCTATAGACGTCACATTCGTCAGTCTGGCTACCTGGGATTAGTTCCCAGGTCAACCGGTCCATAGCTGGAGACACTAGCTGTGTAGCTGTCCTGCTGCTATGAACCAGTAGTTCCGGAGGAGCAGTTTGACTGAGAATCAGGCCTGCTATAACCTTTTTTCTTTTATTTTTTTTAACAATCAAAATTTCTGCTATACCCATGTTTTCACCATGATATGACTTGTTACACTATGTTTATGAAATCCATCCACCATTATTGTGATACTCAACCTTGATCGATTTCGCTCAGTACTGAGCGAACACTGATAGGTATCTTTTGAACCAGCACTACTTAATTTCATCAAGTTTTCATTGTGATTCACACACCTTTAAATGTCAAGGCTATATCCGGTTTAACTGTGCTTTATAATATAAATCAGCGAGAAGTTTTATATCATAAAATTTTAAGAAGTTATTAACATTCCTATAATATTTTCAAATTTTGATGTTAAAATTTAACAACAGATAATTTCTGAAGAGTTGACAAGGGCTGCATTTTAATTGAGGTGCATCAGATATTTTTTTGTAAATATACAGGGTTGCTGGGAAACGTGTTTGATTTCTTTCCACATGCAACACATCTATACAGGGTGATTCTGAACTATATCACAAAGTAAGTCAGATTTTTTTGTGTACCATCATGCATATATCATTAGGAAATTTGTTTTCTTGAATTGAGCAAATTTTCACTCACCTTTGCCAAGTTCAATTCAAGTGGCGCCTGGGAAATTCTAGTTCACTTTAAGTTATAAATTTCTTTGCACCACCATTTGTACCCCGACCACATGCTCTACCGACCCAATGCTAACGGAGATAGTGACTTTCATCTTTTCTAACAAAGATGAGGTTACAAGTTGTAGAGCCGGCTGCAGATTTCTAACGTTATCTGATAACGGAATGATATATGTCCTGAAGGAAAGTAAAAACATCATAGTTCGTCGAACGGCACCTGAGCAAGATGATGAAAAATTGAACTTTTCTGTGCGGAAATTTGCTCCCGATTTCGCCATTTGATAACGAGAGAGGATATATGCCATCCGATACCAATTGAATGGTAGACCTCAAAAACCTATGTGCCACCCCTCAGTCTGAGCCAAATCCACGGCACAGCGATTTATTTGCTGCTATTATTGCCGGAATCACTAGGCTGACATATTCAAATGAATGAATTGAACTTTTATTGCTGTTAATATAATAATAAATACCAGATATACAGTGTGACCCACTTCTAATGGAAACACCCTTGTATCTTACGGAATCGTTGGGTAAGGATTCTGAAATTTGCTAGAGCGAGAGATATACCGAAAATGCACTCTATGACCAAGTGGGGTCATCTTCAGTGATATACACTGCTCACCAACAGCCATGAAACCACCCCAATTTCCGGAAGAAGATATTAGGAGTCAAAATAGGTTGAAAACCACTTCGGAATCGGAATCAGGACGCCCAATTCAATAACAATTCATATTTTTTTTAGAAAATTTTCAGTTCAGAAAAATTAAATTTTGTCTCACTTCTCATGGAAGCACCCCCGTATCTCACGTAATTATTGAGCTAGGGTTCTAAAATTTGCAGCAGGAAGGGGAAAGTCCGAAGATAAAGTCAATTACGTAAGATACGGGGGTGCTTCCGTAAAAAGTGCGACAAAATTTTATTTTTCAGAACTGAAAATTTTTCAGAAAAAATATGAATTGTTAGTGAATCGGGCGTCCTAATTCCGAATCTGGAGTGATTATCGACCTATCTTGACTCCTAATATCCTTTTCCGGAAATTGGGGTGGTTCCATGGCTGTTGGCGAGCAGTGTATATCACTGAAGATGATCCTACTTGGTCATAGAGTGCATTTTTGGTATTTGTCTCACTCCAGCAAAATTCAGGATCCTTACCAAACGATTACGTAAGATACAGGGGTGTTTCCATTAGAAGTGGGTCACACAGCACTGTATAAGTATGTAGGGTAATTCGAAATTTGTTGTGAATATCTCAAGAACGTATTATTGGTATCAAAATAAGACTTTTTCTCCGTAAACATAATGTCCTGAAATGCACCCCCTTCTTGCTACGGTCACTGTAAGTTAGCTAAAAAAAAGAGTATCTGAAATTGTGACTGAAATACCTGATCAATTCTGCTGAAAATTGGCATGCCCCTGCCTTTTCAGACACTTAATTTCCTTCCTGCTTCAGAAATGATGTAAACCCAGTTTTGAGGAAGTTGAAGGGGATTTACACCTTTATTAGCCGAAATTTTATATTCGAAAAGTGAATCTCTGACATTCGATTGAATGATTTTGTGATTCATAAACAAATGTGAGGATTCAGTCTCTCTCATTTTATTTTCATACCACTATCCAGAAAATCGTAATCAAAGATGCGAAAGTTACTACATCGTTTTCGAAAGCAATGAGTCAAACGGTTGCATCTTGCATACGGAGGTGATCGTACGTCGGAATTTCACTTACTCATTTTTTAAGCAAATCTACGCAGTGGCTGTAGCTCGGAGGAAGTGCATTTTAGGACACAATGTTTATATGAAGAAAAAGTCGTATTTTGATCCCAACACAACTTTTTTTGTTATGTTCTGGTTCCCACGAAAAGGGATATCCTGTAATGTTCTGAGAACATTGTGAGAAACAGGGAAAATGAGGTAGACATTGGTGTTCTTCTTGAATTTCTTGCCTCGAGGAATACCTCCTTTGACAATGTGTTCCAGAGCCTCGCTGTTCGTTGGATTAACAGGTCTTTGGTCTCCAAAGTGTCCACGAAGGGGTGCGAAGCTTCAACTCGACGGGTTAATCTCGCGGGCACTGCCAAGGGAGAAACAATTGTTGATATTTCAGAAGAGCATCGTCCATGAAAATATCTTTCAAATTGAGCCAGATCGCCAACTTTTCTTCGGTGTTCCAGAGAAGTGAGTGATTTTGTGAGCGAGGCATCACCCACGAGACGAATTGCCCTTTTTTGCGCATAATCCAACAGATTCAGGGTATGTTTGGGTGCTGCACAAATATGGGAACAAAATTCCAGGACAGGTCGGATCTGTGCCCTATAGATCATGAACAGCTGACTGGAAGTGAAATAGCTCCCGAACCAAAGAGCCAAGTTTTCGGGATGCACTTTCAGCAATTGATCTCACGTGATTTTCCCAAGAAAGGTTATTGCTGATAGTAATACCAAGCATTCAAAAGGATGCTTCCAAAGGTATGGTTACTCCTGACAAGGTCATGTTGGGCACAGTGAGATCGGATTATCTAGAGAAAAGGTATGCTTGTGTTTTGTTCGCATTGATATCTACCAAGTTATTGGATCCCCATTCGAGAATTGTTGCCAAGTCCATATTTATGTTGTCAACATTTCTCCTCCATCGTTCGTTTCTGATTTGCCTGGCTGGTATTGGAGCTCTGGAAGAGAAGGCGGTATGGAGGGTACTTACATCGAATTCTGAAGCATTTCGTATATATAAATGGTAACATCAAAAGTTACATAGAATTGATATCCATTTCTGCTTTGAAATTGCATCCGCTCTTATATTCACAATTCTGTAAGGAATGCATATGGCTAGATGGCAATGTCGACCCAAAAATTGTTTTGATTCAAGAAAAAAATAATATTTTTCAAATCTGTTGAAAAATATTCACGAAAATTTGGCAACATCCTCTCAGATGAACTTTTTATGCCCCATATATGCCCAAATACCACCACAATATCAGGTTATTCCTACCAAGACCCTAGCATTTCACACACACAAAATCGCAACAAAATGACGCACAGCATCAAGCTACACGTGTTTTTATGTATGTTCAATAACTGACAATATACATAGCTGCATTCATTTCAGTCAGTGAGAGTATATCGAAAAAATATTACATGGTGAGACAAGATATCGAAAAAAAAATCAAATAAATAGTAGTAAAAACTGAAGAAATCTTTTATAGATAGACGACTTTCGGCTCATTATTATTTTCGACTTCTTTTTAGTTCGGCTATCTATGAAAGGATGTGTCTATGAGTTTTTCGACCTATTATTTATTTTCTATTTTTCAGTTCCACTAACTGCAAAAGTTTGTTTTAGTGTTATTATATTCCTGTAAGTATACCCAAATTTAATGACCCCGAAAACCCCCAGATACTGACGGATCATGATTGCGAAACCCGATCGCCATACTGTATCCGCCATATTGAATTTCACAATTTTGACAAAAGCATCATCATCATTTTGAATCGAATCGGATCATATAATCAAAAACCTCATTATTCGCCCTCTTGACCCCGTGTTTTGTTTCAGGTAGATCATTGCAAATGGTTTTGAGGAATATGCTTAGTCAAAACACAGAACCCAAACTATTTTTATATACTGGTCATGAAAACAATATCAACAATATCTTATTTGCGATGGGAATAGAAGAACCACATTTTCCAAACTACAGTGCTACAGTAGTTTTTGAATTGCACTCTCTCGAAATCGAAAACCGGACAGAATTTGCAGTGAAAGTGAGTATAATACAGGATACTGATAAATAAGAGGAATACAGTTCTCAACAGACTGAATGGATCACTCATAATTTGACTCTTTTTCGACCAGCTGTATTGCTCAAAGAAATTGACCGATTTTCTTGCGGTTTCATGAAAGCTCTAGAAAAAGTCTGCATAACTATAAGCTCACACAGGGTGAAAAGTGGAACCATTCCACTACGGTCTATATTTGCGAAGCTGCCAGAACTCAAGATTTTTTTCATCAGAAGTCAGTCATATTATGATACATTGGCGGGACTTCATCTCGGGTTGTTTTCGTGATTTCTCCTCAATTCACCATTTCTGGAACAGATATAATGTTTTTATTTCAAACGTCTTGTATTTATTGAAATTTTTCTCTGAAACTTTCACTAGAACTAAACACTGGACAGAACTGTTTCCATGTGTAAAAACTTTACAAACGATAAGATTTCCACAAAATTCCGAAACACACGACATGTTTCGCTAACACAGTAGCTTCGTCAGGTGATATACTGGTACAATGAACTAAACTAACGTTGGCTTGCTTAACTTTTATATCTCTTACTCTCTCAACCTGAAGGATTAGTTACTTGTGGACAGGTACGATAAACCTCCATTTTCGGAAATTAGGCACAATATCGTTAAACGTTAGTTTAGTTCATTGTACCAGTATATCACCTGACGAAGCTGCTGTGTTAGCGAAACATGTCGTGTGTTTGAGAATTTTATGGAAATCTTATCGTTTGTAAAGTTTTCTGGGGGTCGATGGAAGACGAATGAAGCACCATAGTAGGATATTAAAGGGTGTAAGGAAAAAAGAAAAAGAATTTCATTTCAGTAAATGATATAAAAAACGGTGACTTCAACCATGGCCCATTGGATTCATATGATATTATTCAGAAACGGCCTTCTTGATATTCATTATCTATATTAGACTACTATTTCGAGACGTTCTCGACACATTATTATGTTTCGTTGATGTTCAGGATTGAACTTCGTGATGTGATTGATCTACAAAAACTACAAAAACTATTTCAAGAAGTAATTTAAGTGTAAAACAGTATCATCCTGTTTAAAAGTACTTAATGCTTAGTGCTAGCTATGTCAAATTACTCTCCGAAAGTGCTTAGTCATCGCAGCGAGCATTTTGTTAATAAAAGTGCTTGGTGCTCGAGATTCCGGAGTACTTTCCAAGAGTGCTCAGTGATAATGTTAGTAGGGGTATGTATGGAACACCCTGTACTTTATTCCGTGATCGGTCAGAGATTATTATAACGAATTCAACAATACCAGGTTTGATCGGGTTATTTCAAACGATTACGAAGATATTCACGTTTCAAGTTTCTATATGCTTTTGCTTTTCATTCGAAAATCAAATCAGAAGATGAAAAAATTCTGAGATGTGGGAAAGTGCCCTCTAGCGAGCATATGCGATGTTCTGAATTTCAGGAATTCAGCTAGAGCAACAAGGGAGAGAAGGAGGTATACCATGGGTCTGTGTCGCCCAGTATACTGCGTATTTATCAACATAGTTTTATTATTTTATTTTCTACTTCTTGTTAGGTCGGCTATCAATAGGAGAGCCTGTTTTTTAAGTTTCTTGATTGTAAATTCATTCCAAGGAATAACAAGCATTTGAATATTTGGTGAAGGAACATTACGGAATGTTGGTGGCGAAACAGCATTCATCATTTGATTCGAAAAAAAATTGCTTATCCTGAAAATCCTGATCTATTTTACTTTCTACTCTTGTTTGTTCCGGCTGTCTATGAGAGGCTGTCCGTTTTCAGTTTCTTAGTTGTAAATGTATCCGAAGGAATATCAAACATTTGAATATTTGGTGAAGGAACATTTTGAAATGTTGGTGACGAAACATCATTTCGCCATTTTATTCGAAGAAAAATCGCTCATCCTGAAGATCCTGATCTATTTCATTTTCTACTCCTTTTTGGTTCAGCTGTCTATGAAAGGTTGTCCGTTCTCAGTTTCTTAGTTGTAAATTTATTCGAAGGAATGACAAACATTTGGATATTTGGTGAATGAGCATTTTGAAATGTTGGTGACAAAACATCATTTCGCCATTTTATTCGAAGAAAAATCGCTAATCCTGAAGATCCTGATCTTTTTCATTTTCTACTTCTTTTTGGTTCGGCTATCTATGAAGGTTGTTCGTTTTTAGTTCCTTAGTTGTGAATTCATTCGAAGAAATAGCAAACATTTGAATATTTGGTGAAGGAACATTTTGAAATGTTGGTGACGGAACATCATTTCGCCATTTTATTCGAAGAAAAATCGCTCATCCTGAAGATCCTGATCTATTTCATCTTCAACTTCTTTTTGGTTCGGCTATCTATGAAGGTTGTTCGTTTTTAGTTCCTTAGTTGTGAATTCATTCGAAGAAATAGCAAACATTTGAATATTTGGTGAAGGAACATTTTGAAATGTTGGTGACGGAACATCATTTCGCCATTTTATTCGAAGAAAAATCGCTAATCCTGAAGATACTGATCTATTTCATTTTCTACTTCTTTTTGGTTCGGCTGTCTATGAAAGGTTGTCCGTTCTCAGTTTCTTAGTTGTAAATTTATTCGAAGGAATAACAAACATTTGGATATTTGGTGGAGGAACATTTTGAAATGTTGGTGACGAAACATCATTTCGCCATTTTATTCGAAGAAAAATCGCTCATCCTGAAGATCCTGATCTATTTCATTTTCTACTTCTTTTTGGTTCGGCTATCTATGGAAGGTTGTTCGTTTTTAGTTCCTTAGTTGTGAATTTATTCGAAGAAATAACAAACATTTGAATATTTGGTGAAGGAACATTCTGAAATGTTGGTGACGGAACATCATTTCGCCATTTTATTCGAAGAAAAATCGCTCATCCTGAAGATCCTGATCTATTTCATTTTCTACTTCTTTTTGGTTCGGATATCTATGGAAGGTTGTTCGTTTTTAGTTCCTTTTGTGAATTTATTCGAAGTAATAACAAAAATTTGAATATCTGGTGAAGGAACATTTGATTCGAAAACGGAAACGCTCATCGCTCCTCTTGATCTACTATATTTTCTACTTCTTTTCGGTTCGGCTGTCTATGAAAGCCTGCGTTTTTTAGTTTCTCAATTGTAGATTTATTCGAAGGAATAACAAATATTCGAATATTTGGTGAAGGAACTCTTTGAAATGTTGGTGGCGGAACGTCATTTACCGTTTGATTTGAAATAAAAATCGCTAGTCTTGAAGATCCTGATCCACTTTATTTTCTACTCCTTTTTGGTTCGGTTGTCTATGAAAGCCCGTTTTTTTATAGTTTTTCAATTGTAAATTTATTCGATGGGATAAACATTTGAATATAATAATAATAATAATAATAATAATATATGCTTTTATTAACTGCAATGTATGTACTCAATATTACAATTGTATAAATAGGCAGTTGCCCATAATATAGAAAGAATGCAGTCAAAAGGCAGAGTTAACGCTTACACGTATACATGGGTAGTCCGAGTAAGCATTCTCTTCCACTCAACCTACAGTATCACCATGATATTATAATAATATTATAAAAACTTAATGAGGTGTACTAGAAGAAGAAAAAAAAAAAAAAAAAAAAAGGAGAAAGGATTTTGACATCCAAATGAACACTGGTATGATATTATATAATACAATATTCTTATTATGAATTCAAAAATTAGTGGCATCTGTTGAAAGTATATTTTTGAGTTTCCTTTTGAATGACGACAGCTCATTTCGTTTGATTTCATCGGGTATCCTATTGTAAAGCCTGGTTATCATGTAACTAAAAGATGACTGGTATAATGATGTAGAATGAAGAGGGGGTGTCAAGCGTGACTTAAACCGCACATTGAGGTGATGAACATCTGTTCGAAAGGTGATTTTATTATGAAGATATGCCGGTTTTCTGGTTAGTATAATTTTATGATACAAACTACAGGAGTGTAAAATAATCCTTTTTGCATACTAAGCCAACCAATATCATTCAAATGTTCTGTGATGTGATCTCTTCTTCTCAGTCCACAAATCAGACGGACACAGGAGTTTTGAACTAGTTGCAGGCGTCGCAGATTATACTTTGATATGGCATGACCGTAAATGACATCTCCATAGTTGAGATGACAGAGTACTAAAGCATCGCACAGAATTATTTTACACTTCTTATTCAAGATACTTCTATTGGAATAAATCAATTTTAAATTACAATATGCCCGTTTTATAATCATATTAATATGCTCGTTATACTTCAGTGAGGAATCCATGAGAAGACCTAAATTTTTTGTGCATTCTGTTGTTGGGATTAGTTCATCATTAATTCTAAATTCCAGTTCGTGGATAGTTCTTTCTCTCGCCTACTTTTTACCGAAGATCATGACGAATGACTTAGAAGGATTGATAATGAGGCAAAACTTGTTGGAAATCGATAGGATAGAGTGCAAGTCGGAGTTAATTTGGTCATTTGCAGTTAGAACTTCAGATTCGGGAAACGATAAATATAGTTGTGTGTCATCGGCGTAGAAATGACTGTTACAAAACTTCAATTCTTTATAAAATGCATGGGTATATAGTATGAATAAAGTTGGCCCCAAAATAGATCCCTGAGGCACCCCATTCTCCACTGCCAGAGGATCTGATTGATCATTATCCAGGAGTACCGTCTGATATCGGTGAGAAAGATAATTTTCTATAAGTGTAGTTGCACTATCAGTGAAACCTATGTGATGGAGAATAGTTAAAAGCAGTCTATGGTTTATTCTATCAAAAGCCTTGGAGTAATCTAGGAGAATCAATGCTGTTAGTTTATTATTATCTGTGGCGTTGAGGATATCATCCGTCACTTTAAGCAGAGCTGTGACACAGCTATGATTTGCTCTGAAACCAGACTGATGTGGTGGTACTATATTGTAAATTTCTAGATATGAGTTGATACGTGACAGAAGAATTTTCTCAAAGGCTTTCGAAAGGGCACTCAAGATACTTATC